TTTGCTAGAGTGAGACTTGTAAACAGGAAGTAGTGAAGCAGTGAAAGTGCCGAATTCCCCCCCCCCCCTCTGTCGCCGAACTTTTCTACGAATGCCCCCCTCCCCATTTTCTCCTCCGGTAGTTCCCCTAGGCCCTCGTTCATCAAGAACCGAATACTTTATCGAACTTTCCGAATATTAGCCATCGAGCGAGAGGGTAGATAGCTCCAATTAACTATCAGAAATCGTAACAGTTTTGCGGCGCTGCAGCATAGGGAGGAGCTAAATCATTAGATGGTAATCGATCGACTTCCATTATCGCAATCTCCTTTTCTCCAGTGTCGCAGAGTATGAATGCAGCCTCAGTAGAGGCGAGGTAGCAAGGGACTTGCTCTCTGCGGATGAAGGGGCGTGGCGGGCGGGATGACAGTTGGTGGAAAATGAGACTGATACGACACTGCCTTTTCGCTTGCTCGCTTCAAAGAGTGGTAGGAAACAGGTTTAGTGCCGTGCCAAACGTATCTCGCCTGACGCGCCCCTTCATCAGCGGCGGCAAGATTGTAGAAGAGCTAGGAAAATTGGCAGAAAACCGGCTTTTGTTCAGATTTCTTGAAAATATGTCGTGAGATAATAAACGGGAGCCGTGGTAATAAACCAGCGGCCTCCATCGGGAATTCAGATCGCCGAGTTTAATGGTCTTCTTTTTCTTATTTACGAGAACCCTTACTGCCTACGCACTGATACGCGGCTGTAAAACCGATAGTTCGGGAGGTGAAGTATCAAGCTGAAGATCTAGTCATGAAATGTAAACCTGGCGTTCGTCTTTCTTTTCTGTTATTTTCAACTTTGTTACTCCTTTCACGCTTGATACGCCTCTCAACTATAGTAGAAGACGGCTCAACGGAGCGAATGGAGCGAAATTCATAGAAGGACGTTTTTGAAGATGTCTCCACATTATCCCTTGCAGGAACTTCGGCATGGATCTCATTTTTTCATGAGTCGACGGAATGGCTACCTTAATTCCCTTTTATTTGCTTTCTCAAAGCCCCAATTGTTCCCTGTCAAGGTGGAACCGTTTCTGTTTAGACAACCAAACCGGTTATTGGCTTTTGCTCTGAAAAAAAAGTGGATAACCGCGCAAAGGAACGATTGTGAGCTATCGGATGGGGGTTTTATGCCTAAACGTAGGCGAAAGGAGCTCCAACAAGCGAGTGAACTTACTTGTACCGCCGCCGGCCACTTACTAGTATTTGCGGCCATCGGCGTCAGCTTACTTTATGGCTCTATCGACATGCCCAGGCCGGAGCTTGTACTAGTTGTTCATCGTCTCTAAATTTAATCAAGCTTTTTTAGCTGAGTCTGGTGGATGTTGTGGATCCAGTTGATATCGAAGAGGCTTTCGCCCAGCGCCGAACCTCTGCCCTCTACGACATATCATCCACAACTAGTAGCCCAAGGAAGTATGTGCTTGTTCTGTTGAATTTATGCCGCCACCTAATCATAAGATTGCCGAATATTCTGCATAACGTCCTATACTTCATATCAGTGTGACTATGCATTCTATGAATTTTACAGAGTCAGCGAATTCCCTGGCAGTACGATTGTAGAAGTACGAATAGTGCCTCGTGACTGGGCGACTGTGGATCCACCTGTACCCTTAGAAACTAAAGAGTGAGCGAATAGTTATTTTTTTTTCTGCATTTGTGATACCTTTCTGGCCTGTCTTCATTTGTACACTGTCGATGCATAGTCTAGGGCATCGAGCTCCCGCTTTTAACTGAACTAAAGAGTTTTCATACCTCCCCCGAGCTGCTGCTCATACTTTATGGGTCGAGCGTACGGGCACGGTACAAAGCGGATTGAGAGTATATGATATCGCGTGCTAGGCGTTTTGAGCGTATGCCAGCGTTTGTTAGTCGACTGCCAGCTCAAAACTAATCGGCCGCGAAAACACTTAATGCTCAAAATGTTAGATCGATGTATTTATATCTGTCCTAGTAGTTTCACAACGTGGAAAACCGCGTGCGCTGACGGCACGTCGAAATCGCCGGCCCGCTGGCGCAAACTATGAACGCACTCTTATGAATGGCTTGCCTTGAGCCTGCACATCTTACCCGTGAAAAAAGTTAGCGTATGGCGCATCTCGCAGAATATACTGGACTGGTGTCCTTTCATTTTTGATATTTCTCAATTGACTAGGCTTTAAAAAGCTTTTTATAAATTCCAACGATTTCAGCTTGAAGATTGCTCCTCATGTTCGGGATATCATTTGCTCGTTTACGGATCAATTTTCGTTAGTGCAAAAAAGGTTGGCCAGCTCACCATAATTTTCTTTCCTTTTTGTTCTCCCCAAGATAATGCTAATTTGTGCTCCTCGACGTTGTCGTTCATTCAGCTATTCCTGTGACAGATACTGTTATCGTGTACTTTCATCTTGTCAATAGCAGTTATCTGCGGTTCCCCGTAAACCTAGCTATAAGACCTCTTTTTTATTTCGCCTTGTTTTTTCAGGTATCAGCAGTTCAGTTCCGCAGATGCATACGTTCGTATGCTGATTGAACGGCCCATCATTGTCCGCTCAACACCTCGTCCCATTTTCGAGGCCGATGCTGGTCGTGCTGAACGAGTTGCAAGAAGTGTGAGCGTCGTAGGTGATTCGGTAAGTGTTACTTTACGGAATCGTACTCCAAGTCGTACATCTCATTATTCGTTATTGGCGGTTGTAATAGTTGTAATTACTAAGGGCATATTGCAAGGATATTAATAGAGATTTATTGGTCTCATCAATCAAACGACTTAGTACAAGGATCCAAATTACTTTACACTATGATGTATTTTCTTGAAAACTTGGTCGCTGACTTGCTCTGAGATGCTGGGATCACTTCCATAATTCTACTATTCAACTTGTCAGTACTTTAATTTTTGATTGCGTGATATACTCTACAGATTTTGTCTCCCCTCCACCTCCCAAAAAAACATCAGAAAAGGTCGTCTCTTTTTGTTTTGCTTTTGAACGCACACCCCGCATTCAAAAATTAGTCGTTTCTTTGGCACACATACCAATGAAGGGACGGTATGTATCACATAAATTGCGAAGAAATGGCCGATATGGAGCCTCATGCTAAATAGCGCTTATAAGTGCACAAGGCGAAAAGAGGGCGTAGTCGGACGAGTTTCCACTCGCTGGTACCAGCTCTTTCCCCTTATCGCCTTATTGCCACCATTCGACATGGAAATAGGTAGTAACGGCACAGCTGCACCTGTCAGATAGCAAGTGAAAGTGAAAGATGGGCGTCGACGTGTCCACTGGGCGGAGCAGTGTTTTCGTCGTCCGTCATTTCCTTACGCGTATTTTTGAAGCTGAGAAAGCTAGTCAGTCACCGATGCGTCGCAGGCAAATGAATACCTCCAAAAAAGCAAGGCGTCCGTAAGAAACACAGGTCGTGTTTTTGGGGAGGCAAAGATTCGTGTAGGAACAAGTCCCAAAAAATTGCGGCGTAGTTTCCGGTTTAAACATTGTATAGTCGGCGGGGGGACTCCGCTTCATGCCCACTTAGGCGGGTCAACATACGGGCCCGCGACGGGATATTCATGTCTTATATTTCCGATCATCCGAAAAAGCGTCGTTTGATGTTTCAGCCTGGCCAAACTTGCCAACGTAGTAGGGCGCCCCATTTCTCACTCCATTGGTCGCAGTTCAATGACTTACGCATATAAAACACCTGGAAACTTCACAACAGTGGAGGGGAGGGGGAGTCCCCTGCGTTAATGAATCATGTTGCGATTCATCACGCATTCGACCTTCATCCAGGATCGTGGAGACAAATGAATGCGTTTTTGACAAATGGCGACCATCGATAATGGATTAAAGGGGACTGATCGAATCAAAGTCAATTCTGACAAGTCTATGTGAGGTGATCGTTCAGAAAAGAAAGACTTTCTAACTCGATATGTATGCTTTTTTGCCTAATTCTTTCAAACTACCTACATTTCGAATGAAAACAAACTCCTCGGGTTCTTATGCAGGTATGGACTACGGCTCACCCTACGTTGGGATCCCCGGGCGAAGGGGGATGACGTATTTGCCTTTGTGGGAAATGTTTTCGATTGTTGACATTTGTCGGTTTTTATTGTTTCGCGTACACTGCTTACCCTCTAACCCTTCGTTCGACGGCAGCACTTGAGGAAAAACTGGAGAATTTCCAAAAAAAAACATCCGAAAGGGGTGGGAAGATTGTAGGTGGGCGACGAGGAAGGGGGTGGTGCCAGAGGAAGAAAATGGGGGGGGGGGTCGTATGCAGGAATTTTCCCAAAGGGGGACATACAGAGGTCTGGAAGTCCCATTAGATTATGGTAATCGCGAGCTGTTACGAAGTTTGATGTCACTACGAAATTCCGAAAGCTCAGGGAATGAGCGGCCCCGGTGGCATATTGGGTAGTCCACGCACCCGGGTAAGCGTGAGGTGCGGGTTTGAACCCCGCGCTGCGTGGGGTCAAAACTTTTACCCATGCTCAGATGCTCAGTACTTTTGTGAAAACGAAACCATGAACCCTATCTACTGGTCGGAAATTGTGTGTCGGATTCGGAATCGTGACTTTTTTTTCTTCTACTTTTGCTTATTCCTCTTTCCCCAATGGCGTTCCGTGGGAGTTTTCTGGGGTGTAAGCATTCCAGTGGTTCTGCTTTCTGTTTTTTTTTGCTGACTAATAAGCGGGCAAGCTCGCTTCTCTTGGTTATGCTTGGTTGTTTATGAGAAAGTTCACTACTTTGAAATCTCAGGCTTTTCTGGAACTCCATAAAAAAGTAGTAGTGGAGCTGGAAGGTTTATGTGGGCTTTTCACTCATTTCCGCTTATTAGATTAGCAGAGGCAAATGTGTAAGCGCGAGATTTTTTTTCTCTTGGCAGCGAAATCGGTTGTACTATAGCGGAAGCAGGTTCTTCGGAAAAGAACTCTCTTGATGGGGGCTGTCTTGTTGAATGGCCGAGTCTTGTTTCATGAACGAGAAGAGAACTGTCCATATTGGTTTATCGATTTTGTTACAGGACTCCAAACGGACAATCATATGCCTCCACAGCGTCATCTGGTACGATGGGCTCCGCTCTCGTCTCCATCAGAGCTCAGCCGGATCCACCATTCCAGGATAAAGTAAGCCAAACCAAGCTGATTTTTCTTTTTGGGAAAAGCTTATGCTATGAAATGTTAACCAGGTCGGCCACCAGCCGACCTGGTTAACAATTCATGTGACCAGTTTTTATCCAGCCATTTTGTATGATATGGGGAAACAAATAGCAATAGCCGAGAAACCAAACGAATTGTTCTTACTGTTGAAGGCGCAGTTTGACGACAGGGGGGGGGGCATTTTGTACTATCATTGCTTCCCTAGTTCCGGTTTACAAGTCTCACTCTGGCGAAACCTGTGAACTCTTGTGAAGCTGGAGCAAGCTCATCTAGCCATCATGGTAAAACCTGTCAACTCGAGAAGAGGCTGCCTAGATGGGCGACACGTCGATGGGAAGTAGCGAAAGTGCAAAATGCCCCCCCCCCCCTTCCCACTCCCCGTCGTCAAACTGCGCCCTGGTCAAACAAAGTTGGCGGAATGAAGTTGGCACTGTTGGCTCTCTACTACACTACTCGTCAATATTTAAATTGAATTTTTTAGAGATTTCCCAGTGGGGTGGTTTTAGCCTTATGTTCGTCGTCCGTGCTATAGTGACCCGCACGAACCTCGTATCCGTCTGGCGCAAAAGTACTCGCACTCGCATCATTGCTCTGGAGCTGCAGCCTTTTGGGAGGGCAAACTAGCGGGGAATATTTTCAAACGAATTCGCTCGAGGGACAGATTGTGATGATGGTTTTACCTGAATTTCGACGACTTGAGTCGTAAAGTGTGAACGCAGTCTTTCGCGAAGCAGGTATGCAATCTTTTGCCAAGTGTTTTGCTTTCTTGTGCAAAGCGCCATCTACACTATCCCCTGCACACCAGTACACCTCATGGGAATCCCCTCCCGAGACTGCTACGCCCCTTTTGCCGCGAACGTTGTTTGCACACATACTGTACAGATTCTATTTACATCAGTTGTATGGAGGAAAAAGAAATAGAAC